CTGGGATTACAGGCACGTGCCACCAAGCCCAGCTAATTTTTTGTATTTTTAGTAGAGACGGGGTTTCACCATGTTGACCAGGATGGTCCCGATCTCTTGACTTCGTGATCCACCCGCCTCGACCTCCCAAAGTGTTGGGATTACAGGCGTGAGCCACTGCGCCTGGCCTGACTAGGTCTAATTAACATGTTCACACCGTGTACCAAGGAGAGGTGTAGCGAGCATGGCACTGAAGTGAGAGAAGTCTTTCCGGCTCCTGCCCTTTTGAAGGCCCTATACTGTTCAGCCATACCCTGGCCTTTCCCAGGCTTTTCTTTCCCTGGCACGGATGCAGTGTGTGCGGTCAGAGCTGGCGAGTTCGAGACCCGTCTGAACCATCCACCCACAGCCAGGCCCCGCTGCAGCCGCTGCGGTGCTCCTCCCAGCCCCTGGGAATCCATCCCCAGTTCTCCTCCCCGACCCCGGGAGGGCGTGTTAGGGGAGCAGCTTAGGAAGGCGACGATTGCACCATCCACGGTTTGAAAAGGAAGTCTGGGAAGTACAGGGAGGAAACTGGTACAACCCAAAGGTTGAGTCCCAGCATTCATACTCTATCCCTGCAGCGCTCCTTCCACTTTTGCTTTCTGGGCTCCGATCCCTTCCTTTCTACCCCGTCTCTGCCCAACCCTGTTCTGGGCACTGGACCTTTAAGGAGCTGTCACGCTGGCGTCGCTGGCCCCGCCCGCGACGGGGAGGGCTGAGAGGCAGGGGAGGGGTTGGTGGTGGTTGCGGGGAGGTGGGGGGGGGGGTCTGGGTCTATTTTTAGCTCCGAGTCGGGTCACGTGACGGGAGTGACGTCTCCGAATGTTGTTGTTGGTGGCGGCGGCGAGCGGAGCCGGAGGAGCCGCCGCAAAGATGGAGGAGCCGTTGAGGAGGCGCTGCCGCGGCTGCCGCCGCCGCTGCTGTCGCCGCCGCCCGCGGAGCCGGAGCTCGAGCCGCAGCGGGTGAGCGCGCCGCCCCGTCCCAGATCCCATCTCCCCCTGCCCCCGGGATGCGAAGCGGTGCCCCCTCCTCCTGTCGTCCCTGTCCCCCGGCTCCCCGCGCGCGCTTCGCGTTTCGCGCTCCGCGGCACCCATCCTTCCTCCCGGGCCCGGGTGCCAGTCGGCGCCCCCCAGGAGCATCGCCAGCCCGGGAGCGGGGCATCGGGGTTGCTGCGCGCACCCCTCCCTGCCGGTTCCAGAATGGGGCGACTTCGCTTTAGGTAAGGGAGGGGCCCGCCTTCCCGCGTCCCGCGCCCCCAAATAGCTCGGAGACCGACCTGGGTTGTCTGATTTGCCCCTATCCTGGCGGCGCATGTTGCGTTGCTGAGCCATTTGAGCCCTGCACCCGGATTCTGTGCAGACCCCTCTTCTTTGGACACCCTTTTCTTGGTACTCTGAGGTGAAGGGTGCTGCCCACCCACAGCGCTTCTCCTCACAGCTAAGAACGCATCCTTGATTTTATGCCCTTGACTTTCGTGCATGAGGAGGGGACTGCAGAGTCCACCTTACTTCTCTCCCATTATTCTCACCCCACCTCCTGTGAGGCGTTACTGCGTTTCTTCCCACCCTCTTCTCCTGTCTGACACCCTGGAGCAGAATGTGAGAACTAGGAGATGAAATGGACCCCCCCCCCACTCCTTCTTGTCTGGGGTAAATGCCCCGATTTTTCATCCCGGGTCTGTATCTCATGGAGGCGGGAGCACTACCCGTGCCTTGTTAACTTGGGGGAGTCAGCTTCTCTACCCCACCCTTCTCTGGGGCCCTGGGGAAGATAAGAACTGGCTGGGTGATAAGTAATTAATCTGGGAGCCTGGGGGGGCTATTGGAGTGGGGAGGTTGGGTGCTTCCTTTGGGAGAGATGACCACCTGATACCCCTGACTGATACCCTGTCTGAGATGAGGTGTGTCCCTAAAAGGAAAGGAAACAGCTGAGCTGCAGTTGCTTTTAGGAGGGTGCAGAGGGACCCATCACTCTGTCAGTAACCACCATGCTTTTGGGACCTGGAATTAGGTTTGGAGCTTGGGGAAGTGGTGGTGATTGGGTTCAGCATCCAACTGGGAGGGGAGGATAGAGCCAGATTATGGGAACAAAAGGAGGTGGGGGGGAGGGCAAGATCCAGGAGTCTTGGTCAGAGGGACCCCTGGCCAGGTTGCCTTGCAAGATTGCAGCCTGGGTCTGGGTCCTGCCTTCCGCCTCCTCTTAGGTTCAGAGGATGTAGGCAGGCAGGGATGCTCTTCGGTCTGCCAAGTCCTAGGCACCCTGAGCCTGTGCTGGCTGTTGAAATGCTTCGCTGGGCCGGATGGTGGGTGAGCCATGTTGGGGGGCTGCCTGATTCTTTATTCCAGTCTTCCCTCCTTCCTCTCCCTCCCTAAACGCAGAGTTTGGGAAGATCTTGGTTTTCCTCCTTCCTCTTTTCTTGACTCCTCTCTTTGCCCTCTTTTCACTTGAACTTGGATCTGGGCTTTCTTGACAAGGCAGTAGGGGTCTATTTGAGTAAGAGAAATGGGCCCCCAGCATCTCCACTCTGTCCTGGGAATGTGCGCATGCCAGAGACCAGAGAAACAGATCTCAGCTGCGGGTTACTTGGGGGCAAGGATGGAAGAGATGTTCTGTGCCATCCTCCCCTTTTTCCCCAATATATCCTCCTTCTTTGGCTGGATCATGTAGTTTGGGGGGGGGGCAGCAGTTTCACGTGCTCCACCCACCCCAAGTAGCTGCAGAGACAAAGGTTTGCTTTTCCTTCCCTAGGGGTGGCATCTTAAGTGTATGTTTAGAAATGAGGCCTGGGAATGTTGCGGGCTAGGGGGGTTATTTGTGTTCCCGCATAGTGGGGGAGGAGGGATCAGCTATAGGAACTGGGGGTAGCGCAGTCGGTGCTGAAGTGCCAGCTGCTCTTTAATAATTAATTCTTCCTACTCACATCCCTTTGAGAAGGGATGTCTGGAACACGGCATCAGGCTCAGCCAGCCTGCTAGAGGACTCACTCCTGTTGGTGGTGGGGGGGGGAGGGGGAAACAGCAAGGCGGGGTGGTTCTTGGCATTTTTGGAGCACTGTAGCTTGCTTATGAATGAAAACCTGATGCAGCCTGTGAGGGGGCCTATTGTAGCTGACTATATCTAATTAAACTTTCTCTGCCTTTCTTCTTTCCCATCCCACCTCACCCCAGGCCCAGCTCCAGCCCTTTCTTGAATGGGGACCCTGTCTGGTAGTGCTGGGAAGAGGGTATCATTCTGCCTGAGGTTTTTAGGGCAAACAGACCCCGTCTTCTGCCCTCTCCCTCCGCCTCTTTCCTTCCTCCCCTCTCACCACCCCCCGCTTTTTTTTTTTTCTAGAAATAGCAGCCTCCTCCATCTGGCTTGTGCAGATGCCTGGAGCTGTGTCTGAGCAGACAAACAGAAATGGGCCGATTGCAAAAATGAATTTGTCAGGCTGGTGCCTTTTTTCCTCCCCTGTTACCCTCCCTCTTTCCCTGGTTTGGGGCCTGGACATCCAAGTCAGCCACTCTTCATGGCTCCGATTCTTCCAGCCTTCTGTTGGCCTATCCTGGGGGAGGTACCAGGCAACAGAAACTCTCGGAGGCTGAGGATAGGGGTAGGCTGTGGCCTGGTCAGGAGGGTCAAGATGACAAGTCCCTAGTGGCTTTAAGTGGGATGACTTGGCTTGTAACATTTTTTTTTTTTTTGAGACAGAATTTTGCTCTTATTGCCCAGGCTAGTATGCAATGGCACGATTTTGGCTCATGGCAACCTCTGCCTCCCAGGTTCAAGCGATTCTCCTGAGTAGCTGGGATTATAGGCATGTGCCACCATGCCTGGCTAATTTTATATTTTTTTAGTAGAGATGGGGTTTCTCTATGTTGATCAGGCTGGTCTCAAACTCCTGACCTCAGGTGATCTGTCCGCCTCAGCCTCCCAAGATGCTGGGATTATAGGTGTGAGCCACCGAGCCCAGCCAGCTTGTAACTTTTTGATAAGTTGTTGGGGTAGAGTGAAACAATCTCAGACTCCCAAGACTTGGTTCTCACTGCTTGACCCTATCACCTATGACCCAGGGGGTGCCCTGACCTGGATGCTCTGGCCCTGCCAGGTGTTTCGGGAGGGGGTTTCATGGTGGTACTGGAGTCTAGGTTCCAGAGAGGGTCTCCAAGGGACACCTGATTCCCCAGGAATTCCGAGGGAGTTGTTTGAGGGACAAGATCTCTACGGGGCAGCATTGTGAAGCTGTGGCCTTTGTAGCACTGCATTGTACCATGTGTCCCTCACTTGTCTGCCTTCCTCTTCTCACCCTCTGCCAGAGTTTTTATTGCTTATGAATGGGGTGGGGGGGTGTCTCCCTAGGGTTTCTGCTCTACCTCCTCCAGTTCAGCCATGAGCTTGTACGATGAGATGCAGCCCGCTTCCTTCATTCATCCTTGCCCAGCTATCTTGGCTGGAGGTGGGAGGTGGTTTGGGACCCCTAGGGTAGGAGTCTGTCTGGAAGAAAGAGTGGGTGTGAGTTTGTGGGGCAAGACCCTCAGGATGGCCAGGACATCTGCCTACTTATGATGTCTTAGAAGCTGGGCCGCTTCCTGGTTTGGCATCCAAGTGTTAGGTCATCTGGGACATAGCTCCTGGTCCCTGACTGCCCACTGAGACCCAGCGAATTTCTCTGGCAGATGTGGGAACAAACAGCTCAGGTTTTAAACATTAGGCACCCCTTCTCCCCTTCATGCCCCACCCTAGACAAGAATCTGTGCTTGTCCCGATCAGGCCGTCAACACTGCTTTGTTTCTCAGGGAGGCCCAGCCTGTGGCTCTGGTTCTCTGGAGAGATTGATGGAGTTGTTGGCAGATACTCTTTACAGGTGGATGGGGCCCAGGGATCCTGCTGAATTTTATAGGATGGGGAGGAGTAGATGGAGCTGAGTCCTGAGCCTACTATGAGTTCAAGGAGCCGCTCCCTTCCTCTTCTGCCTCAGGGTTGAGGATCAGTACCTTTGAGACCCAGAGGAAGAGTGGGTGGGTTAGGATGATGGGGGCTGCGGGCTGAGCTGAACTGGCTTCTGTACCACTTGGGCTATGTCCCTTAGCACCTTGCTGTGGAGGTCCCTCTCACTGTGGAGATGCCTCGCACTGTGGAGATGGGCTGGGCTACTCAGGTTGCTGGGAACCGTGGGAATTTCTGAACCTGTGTTCCCCAGCCCACGGGAAAGGGTGTGAGCGGGACTGGGCGCCAGCCCTGGCGTGGGCACAGGCTGAACTGTCTGCCCACATGGGCCCTGCCAGCCCTACCTGCCACATTCCTGAGCTTGGCCCCAGCCCTGCAGAGCCTTTTTTATCCTTATCCCACACCTGTGCTTGTCAGGAGCAATTTAGCCGCTTCAACTCTGCCCCCCAAACTGAGTGCACTTTTCTCCAGCCATAGTGTCCAAGCCCTGTGGGCAAGAGCAGACAGCAGCAAGCCTGGCACCTCGAGGTCTCGTGTGTGTGTGTGTGTGTGTGTGTGTGTGTGTGTGTGTGTATGTGTGTGTGTGTCTGTTCATGTTCTTGTGTTTCTGCCATAGCTGGCTTCTGGGCTCCAAATGGACCCCACCCTTGGGAATCTGATGAGAATGCAAGGCTTATTGAGAATTAATCCTGCCAGGTGGTGGGGCTGTCTAGGGGACAGAGCTGATTGCTGGTTCGAGGCTTGGGAAGCAGAGTTAGAGCTTAAATATCTAGCAGCTCTAAGCCTCCTCTGATGGCTTCCTGCTACCTTGCTTTCATTGGGTGTTGGAGGGCCTGCCTTCATTTGGAAGCAAATGAATGAGATCATGTCTGGGGTGGATGGTGGGCTGTTTAGGGATGGGCCAGGTGGCTGTGTGCATAGTGTCTGAGGCTTGAGGACTAACTGTGGAGCTGGGGTGGGAGAAGGCTGGAGGAGTGGGCATGGGTTGGCAAAGCCATGATCTTGTAATACCTTCTCCTTTACTATATTGGCCTCAGCAGGGCTATTGCTGGGCCTTTTGTTCCTTTTGTACAAACTGGGAAAAACTGTCCCTTGTTTTGGGTGGACTCAGCATGTCAGGCCATGACTTGGCAGGCAGGGTACAAGCCGGATTTCATACCTCCCTGGACCAGACCTCCTTACACAGAGCACTACTTGTACAAGATACACAAAGCCCTGGGCTGCTACATTCCTGAGCTTGGCCCCAGCCCTGCACAGCCTTTTTTATCCTTATCCCACACCTGTGCTTGTCAGGAGCAATTTAGCCGCTTCAACTCTGCCCCCCAAACTGAGTGCACTTTTCTCCAGCCATAGTGTCCAAGCCCTGCACCTGCTGGGCCGCGGGTACTCGATTTGGGATGGAGAGGCCTCTGACTTTTTCAGTTCTTGGAAACAGGAGCTCTTGTCCTGGTCTGTTGTTGAATGGGGGAGACCAAAACAGAAGCATATCATATTTCCAGAGTTGAGAGGCACAAGGATCAGAAAGTGGGGAGAAGACTCCCGTAGGAGTCCTGGCTTAGGCTACAGAGGCTGGGATTCCAGTTTCTCCCTTAACTTCTGCCAGGAACTCCAGATCAGCCCTGCATCTCCCCCCTGCTGTGGATAGAGGCCAGAAGCACCCCCTGCACTTTCTCCTCTGGTGCACACCTAGTCCCATGGCAGGCACCATTAGGAATCTATAGGGTCTCCCCACCTGGCGGTAGACATTCACCTGAAAAGGAGTGTGTTGTGTGTGGCCACCATAGCCATTTCCTATCCCTTGGGTTCTGGGAGCCTCATCAATTAGTAAGAAACCAGGGTCTCTCCAGTTCTGCTGACTTCCACTGTGGCTGTGGGCAGGTATCCCTCCCTCTCATCCCTCTCATCCCCAGGTATAAACCGACAAGCTCCATGGTCTCCTTCAGCTCTCAGATTCCTGAGTTAGGGGCCTCTAACCCTGCTCCATCTCTCCCCAGGGATGCCGTTCTGAGTGCCTGACTGCCTCGCCCCGAAGGATGGCCTCGGATGGGCATTAGAGGCACGGCGGCCCCGGGCTCCCGTCCCGTCCGTCTGTCTGTTATCGTCTGTCTCTCTTGACATCACCGCAGCTCCACCCCCTCCCGTCCCAGCCCCCAACGCCAGCTTCCTGCGGGCCCAGAGCCGGCATGAACTCTCCCAACGAGTCGGGTAAGAGCTGGGAGGTTGGAGAAGAGCACCCTGGGGTAGCTTTGGATGCGATGGGCTGTGTGGGTTTCCCGTCCAGGCCAGCTGACCTTTCTGACTGAGCTGTAAGGAAATCAGGGGGTCAGGAGTGGAGAAGTATTGGAAGAAAGGCCCATGAGGGAGACCTGGGAAATGAGGGGTCGACGGTCTGGCTGGGTCCTGGGAAGGCATGGGTCCTACTCTGCTCCCGATGCTTGCCCTCCCAACTTAGGGGCGCTCCGTTCCGGCTCCACCTTGCTCTGCTAGCCAAGACAGGTGGTCCCGAGGGGGTGTGTGTGTCCCTGGATCTCTCTGGGCGGTCTGGGATGATGTTGGAGGAATTTCTTTACTATAGCAGAATGCCCAGCTTCCTTTTTGTGATGGTGGCTTCTTTCCTTGGTGGAATGTTTGTGTTCCATACTTTTTTCTTAGTGGAGGTTTCCAAGGGCACACTGGGCCTTAACCTCCGTGTGTGGGTGTTTGGCGTTGGGTGGGAGTGGGGCAATGTGTGTAGAGGAGTCTTGGCTCTCCTCGGAGGTAGACTGCCTCTCTTGGGCCCTGCACATGGTAGATTCCTAATCTGGGGTCTTTGACTCTGAGATTTCCTGTTCCTCTCTGCTCCTAGGACCCTGTCCAGTGCTACCAGAAATAGTCTACTGGGGGGACTCCAGGCAGCTTTATGTGCAGCTGGGTCTGGATGTGTGCCTGTGAGGCTGTGTTCTGGTGTCCTGAGCTGGACCCTCAGCTGTTTCCAGGGAGGGTCCTGGGGCAGTGTGGTCGGAGTAATGGCTGCCGTCTCCTTGGCTATCTCCGTCCACAGTGTTAAAGGTCCATCTCGCTCCACTTTAGCCTTCCATGGCCCATCGTACTCCCCATCTTTTTATGCGGGGGTGGGTGGATGTTTCTCCTTCTAGAGATAAGGGCAATTAGGGCCTAGGATGAATACCCATTTACAGGATTGTACAGAAGCAGCATCAGGGAGGAATCCAGGCTGCCCCACATCTTCTTCCCTATCATCCTTCCTGCAGGGTGTGCAGTTCCCCGTCAGGTATTCCTGCCTCTGCCCTTGCCCTCATTCAGCCCATAGGTGCTGGGCCAGGTGGGCTGTCTAGCTCTGCCTTCTTGCTTCCTCCTCTGAGGCTGGGTGGCGAAGGGAAAGGAGAGGCCTGGGTCCTCATCTGTCCCTTGCAGGTCTCAGCTGGACACCACCCCAGCAAGGTCAGCTGCATCGGGCAGTAGTGCCAGTGGCTTCTTTCCTCTTGAGTTGTGACGCCGACCTGTCTGGGAGTCATTTCAAGTCCCTGCTTCCCGTGGGGCTGGGGTCTAACTCTTGTTGGTGGCTTGGAAAGGATATTTCCCAGCTTTGGGGTTTCTTTCCCTCGCAGGGAAATGTGATCATAATCAACCCAAGATAGATGAAGTTATTGGGTTACCTTTCCAGATGCCGGAGGTCATTTTCCCTTGCAGCCACCTCTGCCGGAGCTGACAGGAGTGTTGGAGGAGCTGGGTGTGTCCACCAGCGCTGGAGGCCTGCGGCTTGAGAGTCACTGCTGGGCCCTGGCTGGGAGGGGCATCCGAGTGGGCCTGTGGATGGGTCCTGCCTCCTGGCTGGTTTTTCCAGCTCCCCCCAGCAGGGGGAGATGCTGTCTTTTCCGTGTGGGGGAAGGAGGGAAAAAAGGAGGGGGCTAGGGATTGTGAACTTTAAGACTGTTGAGAGGCTTTGGAACTGGGACCACTGCTTGGGGATGTCTGCTTGAGGCCCTTTCTGCAGAGTGTTCCTGGGGTTCTGGGACTGGCTCTCCCACTTATGGGTTTCTAGCTGCCTTGAGCCAGGGAGATAGCCAGCCTCCCCCCAGCTCTTCCTTTCTGAGGGGCCTAGGGTCTGCTATTCCCAGAGCTTGGGCTGGCATCTGGGCTAGGGTTGGGGTGCTCAGTGCCTGGCAGAAGCCTGGAAACCACATGCCTTGGAACTCTGCGGAAGTAAAATGAAACCACGAATTGTAGCCAGAGCATGTGGGTGTCCACTTCCCTGTAGATACCCTGCAGAGAGCCCCAAGAAGGAAAGGTATGGGGCCCCGGGGCAGGAGACAGAGGTGGGAAGGATGGAAACGGTTGGTCCCCAGGCTCTGCTCCAGCCCTCTGAGTGCCTCCCACCTTCTCCTCACTTCCCTCGGCACTTGCCTCTTTGCCCAGAGTGCAGAGCAGCAGGCTGGGTAAGGGGCAGAGCTTGTAGTTCCTCTCAGTTCCTCTCCTTGTAAAGCTTTTTCTGTGTGGCAAGTCCTCACTGAGTATCACCAACAGGCTCAGCCTGTGGAAGGCAAAAGAAAACATGAGATGAGCCGTCTCTGCCCATCACGGGAACATGTTAGCAAGAGAGACTTTCTGGTGAGGGGCAGCAGGTGGAGACTGCCAGTGATTTCCTTCTGGGGCCCACCACCCAGGGATATGGGAGCTGATCACTTCCCTCTGGCTTGGGCTGCCTGCCAGCCTTTGACCTTATTTTCCTCTTTCACAGTCTTGGGAGCACGGGTGGAGGCTGTTGATGGGACTGTCACTTCCCTGAGACCACTCCCTGATCTCTACCTTTTCTTCAGGCAAAAGGGGTCTTGAGGATTGAGGCTTGCTTTCTTTTTCTGACTGATTGCTTCTGCATGTTCTCCTTGGTGGGGCTGAAAGGCTGACAGAATTTTCCTGCAGCTCAGCCTCTGCCCAGCCAGGTTGGAGGAGCCGCCCAGGGGCCTGGCGCCCAGGCCAGCTCTAGTTGTACCCTCTTCTCTGTGCTGTTGCCCAGAACAGCAGGCAAGAGTGAGGCCCACTGTACAAGCCAGTTTGGGTGGCAGCGGGGCCATGGAGGAGGCAGCCAGGATCCTTCTCCCCAGTGTGGGTGGCAGCGGGGCCATGGAGGAGGCAGCCAGGATCCTTCTCCCTAGTTTGGGTGGCAGCGGGGCCATGGAGGAGGCAGCCAGGATCCTTCTCCCCAGTGTGGGAGGGAGATAAGCTTCATGACAACACCTGCCTTTCCAGCACCTCCCAGAACTCTCACACTTTCTCTCTTTCCCTTTCCCAGGAGGGAGGGCAGCTCCCCGCCACCAGCCCTGGTCTCTGGGTGACCAGAGAAACTGGGGCATGGGTGTGGGGTGGAGCCAGGAACCTCGGCGTCCTGCCTCCCAGCCTCAGGCTCTGCCTCTGTGCCCCTGGGGAAGGCAGGTAGTGAGAAAGTGGGTCAGTCCTGGCATGGGGCAGGGGTCTGGGAAGTGGACACCTGGCCTCCCTTCTCTCCCGAGATGCCTCCTGGCACACCTCTGTGCTCACTGCAGACTGGGGCCTGCTTCTCCCCTCCTTTTCCCTGCTCTGTCGTTTCAAAGGGATTGAAGGCTTAGAATGGAATGGCCAGAGGAGGCAGGGTCAACCCTGAGGGGAAGTAGAATATGCCAAAGTAGGTGTTCACATTTTTCCTGGACTTGGCTTCAAATGAGAGGGTTCAGCCAACACCTAGCCTGGGACCTGGCACATGGCGGCTCCCAGGCCTTGCCGATGGGCTCCAGCACGGCTGGACTCGAAGAGCGGGAAAGAATAGGAGGGCGGGCAGGTCTGAAGTATCTGGGGCTCAGGGAAGCTGGCATCTCACACTCCATCCAGGATGCTCCTGGGCCAGGAGCTTTTTTACTGTGCACTAAGCAGACCCTGCTTTCTGCCCTTTGGTCAGGGTCCCCCCACCCCTGCAGCCTTTGGGCTCAGGAAATGGAACCTGAAGCCAACATTATATTCTTTTCTTCTTCAGATTCAGAGAGCTAGGAGGGCAGAGTGCAGCCTTTGAGGGAGGGGTGGAGTGAGTCTGGGGAGGACAGTCCTGGGTCTGGGTGAAGCTCGTGTACCCCATGCTTGGTGGGTGCTCTGTAAGGTTTATGGGATGATACATGGGAGCACTTGGATGGGAGAGGATGGAAAAGAGAAATGAACTGCAAGGAGAGGGACTAAAGCATGAAGGACTGAAGTTAGACATTAGGAGGAGCTTGTACTAACTGAATCTCAGAAGAAAAAAAGACATTTGTCCCCATCCCAGACCTCTTCTCTCATTCCCTTGGAGGATTCTGGGAATTGCACTGAGGATTTTCTGGTCATGTCTGACACTTTTTGAGGCTGTTCCAAGCTCCCGGCTCTAGCCACCTCTGGGTGTCCATGTCCTGGGTGCCCCTATCTTCCTGAAGCAGGAAGTCCTCTTTACTTCCATGTCGGGATGCTCCAGATTCTGGGGGCCCTGCTTTTGAGTCCTGATAACTGATGATTTCTTCTTCTTTAGAACAGGGCTCTCCTGCCACACTCACTCCTGTGCCTGGGGCAGGCAGAGAGAGCTGAGACAGGGCTAGCCAGCCCTTCTGGTTGCTCCTAGCGTGGGTGGTTGGAGTCCTAGGCTGGGAGGGGTTGCTACTCCCAGCTTTCTGGGCTCCCTTGAATCTGCTGCCCATCACCCTGCTGATGGAGACCTTCCCTTCCCTTCCTCTTGAGAGGGCCTTGTTGGCCAGGATGAGATTGGGACAAGGGGTGATAAATGACATCCCTGGACATACCGTGAGGTGTCCACCAGCGCTAGGCCTCTGAGGGAGTACTGCTCCATTGTCTTTTTCTAGAATCTGCCTTGGCTTCAAAGCTGCAGCTCCAGAGCCCTGTTTCTTTCCTGGTCCACCACTGGGTACCCCCTGGCAACATATACATCTTGCCAGTCTAGGGCCTGGCAAACCCTGCCTCTGCCTATAGGTGTGGTCCCCCAATCCTCCTACTCCCAATCTGAGGGCAGGGGACCCCTTTGCCATCCCTGACTGGTGGAAGCTGGCTGGGAAATTGGGCTCCAGGAGCCATAGCCACTGTGTCCTTGGTTGGCCAGCTCCTCTTGGGCTCCCAACAAGAGGGTGAGGTCATCCAGTCCAGAGAGAGGACAGGTGTCCCTGGCTCCATGCCTGGAGTGGGGGGCAAGGAGGGGGCTCCAAAATAGCAACTGTGACATCAGGAAGAGGGAGGGGGATGCAGACACAGGAATAACCAGGCTATTAAAAGGCTCTAGTGAGGTCAGGGGGCCAAGTGGGATCTCTGTACCTGTGGGAGCACAACCTGAGGAGAAGGGGCAGGCCAGCAGTGGGGAGGGCATGGGATTGGCACGGGTCCTCACAGTGCACCAGCCCTAGGACCCAGGGAGCAGAGCCTATGCTGCCAGGCCTGAGTCTGGCTGGTGGGGAATGGCTGGATGCTGAAAGACTACTGACTCTTCCTAGCGAGGCACCAACCTCAAGTCTCTTCCTACTTGAGCACAGGGTTTATTGTACCTGTTCATAGAAACCCTGGGAAATGGGAGGCAGTGTGGTGTGGTGGGTCGAGCTCAGACTTGAGTCTCGGACATCCCAGCCCTGTCATCTAAGCAGCTGTATGACCCAGGGTGAGTGACCATCTCCCTGTGCCTCAGTTTTCCCTTCTGTGCCTCTCTCCCAAAGTCACCATGCAGAATGAGATGATGTATGTGATGTTCTTAGCACCACACCTGGCACATGGATAGGGAGGAGCTACCTGTGCTGCGAGAATGGGCAGGTGTTCCCTGGTTCGCTTTCCCAGGCTTGGGGTGAGGAAAGGGGACCAGGGAACCCCTGTCTGCCCAGGAAGAATATCCCTACCCCCTAGAAAGAAGCTGAGGCTGAGCAGCCTCTGGAGGCGACACTCCAGAATGAGTGGGAGGGAGCTGCCATTGGCAGGTGTTTGGGGGTCTCTCTGCTGGTTGAAGGACTGAGGAGGCACTCCATTCCTCAGCTTTGTGGGAGGGTAGAATAAGCAAACCTCCATGGGCTGTTAGAACTCCAGGGAAGTTGCCTGTCTGCCAGCCTCTCCCAGACCCTTTCTATTCCTTTACCTGGTCTGGAAGGCAAGAGGGCAGATGGAGGCTTGAGTCTGGCTTCTTGGTCTCTGTCCCCTGGCTTGCTTGCCAAAAGTAGCAGTCAGAGCCGCTCCCAGATGCATGGGTACCCCAGCCAGCGCCCTTCCCCAGCCCAGCCTCTGGCCACCTATCGCTATGGCCTTGGCCCTGAGTGCAGGCCCTCCCCCGTTCCCATCCCCCTCGCCTGGCGCTTCCTCCTGGGGTAGAACCGCCTCCCCCCCATGGGGCCTCCTGGCAGCCGGCCCGCAGCTCCCTGAGCATGCTCCACCTATTTATAGACAGGGCCCTCCCCCAACTGCTATTTCAGTCTCCTGCCAGCTGCCGGCGGTGGCTCATTCGGGAAGGAGGAGCAGGGAGCCGGCCCAGAGCTGTCACCCAGGATTGGGAGGGAACACAGAGAGCCCGCCTGCCCGCTGAGCTCCCCTTCCTGTCCCAAGTGCTCAGCCATACCCCAGCTCCCGGGAACCAAGGAAAGGCTGGTGGTCGGATACCCCTTTAGAGCAGAGCTGGGCCTGCAGCTCTTGGGCCTCCCTGCCCCTCCTGCCGTCAGGAGTGCCCAGGCCGGATGAGGCACTTCCCCACAGTACGCGTCCCATTGGCAGTGGCCTGAGGGAACCCCTGCACAGTGCGGGCCACCTGACCACCTTTCCTTGGGCTGGCTTTCCGCCTCTGGCGGTCCCCTCCCTGGCATGCTGCTGGTGCCCAAGGCTCAGGGGCTCGTGGAGATGCTGCAGACCATCTATGAGACAGAATCCTGTTTCTCAGCAGATGGGATGTCAGGCCGGGAACCATCCTTGGAAATCCTGCCTCGGACTTCTCTGCACAGCATCCCTGTGACAGGTAAGTGCCTTGGTGTCCCTGCCTGCCCTCTGTCATTGGGTATCCTTGTCCCTGGGCTGAGCATCTGGCTCCGAGCCTTGTGCAGATAGCATCCTGTGTAGATCTGTCTTGAGAGTTTCACTGAGAATACACAGGGCTGGGGGATCCCTGCTCAGAGAGGCCCCTGCCCTCCCTGCCCAGAGCCTGCTGCTCCCCTGTGCCCTGCAGCTGTACTCTGCTGCTTCACTTCCAGTCACTTTGGCCTCTGGCAGGGTCAGCATCTGTTGCTAGGGGCTGGGGGTTACTGGAGGATCCTGGCCTAGTTGGCAGTGTGGTCAGAGGGGAGGAAGTGGGTCAGTGACCCGCCTCCTTGCTGCCCGCTCCCCAGGTTTGGGCAAGGGAAGAAGGCGTAGCTAGGTGTCCACAGGAATAAAGCTTACCCCGGCTCCTCTGGCTTGGTTCTTAGGGCTAGAGCATCAAGTCCAGTAACTTCCGCCAAGTCCCCAGCCAGGAGTCTCCTGAGAATCAGACACTTGGGGAGGCTTGGTATAGTTGTGATGGAGTTAGGCAGAGGCTGGCAGCTCGGATATTGAGGGGCTTGGCTGCCTTCGCATCTAGCTGGCTCCCGATATCGCTCCTCTCCCCAGGTCTGGGTTGATTCCCGTGTCATGAGGATGAAGAGGTATTACTCTGGCTCAGATGGGGTTAGGACCCCCTAATCCTGCCACCCTCTCAGCAGTAACCTTTTTTGCCTCTTGGCTAGGGGTGGGGTCCCCCAGAGCTGGGCTACTCCTTCCCTCACTCCCGGCAACCTGTCGGCAGCATCAAGCCTTTCTGGCACAGCCTCCCCACCAGGCCGGCACCACAAGATGCTTCTTCCAGGGAGGGGCCTGCTGGACCCATGCCTGCTTGGCCCCTCCTGGTAGTGGCTTGGCATTCAAGTGTGGGTGACTATGTGTGTGCACGTGTGAATGGGGAGTCTTTGCCTATGGATATGTGGGAGTGCATCCCAAGCTTCGAATTGGAAGGTGGGAACTGTGTGCCTCTGCAGGTCCCTGTGATTTGGCTCTGAGCTGCCCAGGGATAATGTTGCAGTGCGACTTGGATGTGTCAGAGAATAAATGTTTCGGGAGGATTCAGAAGATCTTTGGAACATGGCCTATCATCTTCCTGAGCAGGGATACCCCTGCAGTGTTCTCACGTAGGGGCATGGCCCTGGAGACTAGCCCTGCAGGGTATCCATGCAGGCCCCGGGGATAGGGGCCTTACCCTGGGGCCAGCCCTGTAGGCTGGGGCTGGGATGAGGGTGTAACCTTGAGGACCAGCTCTACTGTGTACCCATGAAGTCCCGTGAGGTAAGGGCATATGCCTGGGAGCCAGCTCCATAGGCCCCTGGGATAAGGAATAAACCCAGAGGGCTGGTTCTTATCCTGGTCTGGAGTCCACAGGGTCAGCGAAAGACCCTGCCTGCTTGCCCCTAGTCCATGGCCTCCGGGACTTAAGGTGGTCTCTTGGAAGGCAGAATAATCACGGAGCATTTGCTTGGGGCAGCTCTACCCTGTGTGGCTTATCAGGTCCACCCATCCTGTCCTGTCCCCTCCATTCCTTGCTACTAGCAGCAGCCAGCAGTTGGCCCAGAGTTTCCTCCTTGGCTTGTTTACTCACCTCTTTTCAGACTGTACCCCAGAAACCTCGAAGGCTGGACCCTGCTCTCTCATCCCATCCCTAAGCCTGGCTGCCCCTGCATGGACCCCCAGGCACCTCCTCTCTCCAGATGCCTGTCTCCCCACACCAGCCGATGTTGGGGGTGGACCAAGCCTTCTGAGTGGTGGCTTGCTCCATGCTGGCAGGAGGGAGGCGTGAGTCACCTCAGCGGCTCGGGGAGAGGGCTAAGAATGTTCCCCCTGCGCAGCTCTGATGCTGTGTCTGTGACGCGGCTAGGGACAGATATAGGCCTGGAGCTCGGCTGCCTTGTTTTTTTTTTTTTTTTTTTTGGACTCTGGAATGTAAATAGATGTTTCAAATAGAAACACTTTAACCTTTGGGTTAAAAAAAATCCACCCCGGATAAACACGGCCATGAGGGCCCGGGCAGCCTGGTGTTTCCCTCCCCACCCCCTCTCCCCGTCTCTTGATCGGTCTCCAGACAGGATGCAAGAGCCTGGGGCTGAAAAAGCAGGTGTCCAGGGATGCTTCTTTGGACAGTGTGAATTGCACAGGCCTCCCAAGGGGTTGGGGTAAGGGGCTTTTGAGGGTACGCCTGCCTGCCACCTCCAGCAGCATCTTGGAACCCTATTTTAGGGACAGCCTTTGCTCTCTGGGCTGTCTTGGTTGCTGCCATTGCACAGCACCTAGCACAGTGCCTGGCACATGGATGAATGAATGTCGCATGGGGAGGGCTGGAGTCCAGGATTGCTGGCAGGATTCCTGGGCTCTATTCTGGGGCTCGGACCTCTAGGTGAATAGAGATAGCTTTAGTGAGTCACCCAGCGGGTGAGACAGAGTCTTAACCTACTGAAGGATGGGGCCACTTCGCTGTTCTTTCTTGAAGATGGGGCCCGATCTCAGCATCCGCTCTTGGTCATCAGAGGTCTCCCTTGATGGGTGAGGTATCTGCCTGGCCACCCTGCCACAGCCCCCCAGTTCACAGTGGGCATTACCAGCATCCAAGCTTAGTTCTGGCCTGGAGAGCCTGGGAGTTTGAACTCTAGTATGGGAGTCTCAAGGACACAGAGCTGGGGAATTCTCTGCCTTCCTTATGTGGGCCCTGGATTCCCCTTTGTCCTGTACTGGGTGGAGCTGATGCCCAGACAATGTGCAGGACTTTATAAGAAGGCATGGAGGAGGAGTCGGCTTTTCCCGTGGAGGGAGGGTGTGAATCCTGCTTGTGCCAGGAAGGAATGCTGTGGACACGGGGAAGTGCCATGGGGTCCAGGTTTGGCCTTGGGGCTTTCCGTGAATATTCTTGCTTATGCTCTTCAGACTTTCCAGGTTTGGTTGTGTGTGTAGGTATGTAGGTGTAAGCCTGCCAGGAAGGTAGGAAGGGCAAGACTCAGGGTGTGAGTGGAACTACTACAATGCACTAAGTGACAAGGCTATCAGGTACTTTCTTTAACATCTCTCTCTCTCTTTTTTTTTTTTAAGTAAAGTCTTGCTCTGTTGCCCAGGCTAGAGTGCAGTGGTGTGATCTCGGCTCATCATAACCTCCGCCTTCTGGGTTCAAGTGATTTTCCTGCCTCAGCCTCCCAAGTAGCTGGGAATTAATATGCGCCACCATGCCCAGCTAATTTTTGTATTTTTAGTAGAGACGGGGTTTCATTGTGTTAGCCAGGCTAGTCTCGAACTCCTGACCTCGTGATCCGTCTGCCTCAGCCTCCCAAAATGCTGAGAGTACAGGCATGAGCCATAGCCGTACTTTACAATTGAGAAGGTTCAAGGGAGGTTAAGGGACCTGCTTAAGGGACTTGCTGCACATGGTAGTTCATACCTGTAATCCCAGCACTTTGGGAGGCTGAGGCAGGGAGGATCACTTTAGGCTAGGAGTTTGAGACCAGCCTGAGTAACACAGCCAGACCCTGTCTCTACAAAAAAATGTTAAAAAAATTATCCAGGCATAGTGGCATGTACCTGTAGTTCTAGCTACTCAGGAGGCTGAGGCAGGAGGATTGCTTGAGCCCAGGAATTTGAGGCTGCAGTAAGACATGATCTCTGCCCTCCAGCCTGGGCGCTATAACAAGACCGTCTCTCTTAAAAAAGGGAACCTGCCCAAGGTCACACAGTAAGTGAGAGCTGGAATTTGAACTCAGGTCTCTGGTTCCTACTCAGGTAGGGAAATTGCTAATCCACATAAAAGCTTTTGTGCAGATTTTTAAAAAGTGGACCTTCTTCTGGATAGATGGATCCTTATGCCAGTGTGTGTGGCCTGGCGATTGGAGCTTGGGCGAGATTTTAGCCCCAACTCACTCCTTTAGCTGACAGCCCATGTGCAGGATGCAGCCTACACAACCCTATGTGCTGGGCCTGTCAGTGCAGTGTCCATTGTGCTCCTAGAGCACAGGAACCATTCTGGCTTCAGGGGCCTGGTGGGGTTCTGAGAGGAGGCTTTGTTTTCTGTAAATACTAAGGACCATTTGGTCAGCGATCTTCCTCCCTAAGGGGACTTTAGCCCAAAGACAGAAGAGGGCTCAGGAACAACGTTGAATACCAGCCCCCGCATACAGCCTCCTCTGTCCCCCTCCCCCACCTCATCCCCTCTTCTTGTTTTTGAGACCCTCAGCTCTCCCTTCCCTGCCACACAGCTGCCAGACAGGAAATCAGATTAACTGTGTCCACACACACAGCTGTAACAGCTGTCAGGTTGGCAGCAGAAATGAGTGCAGGCAGCCTGGGGACACTGTGAGGCAGTGGTTCTCCAACTTTTGGTTGTATCAGAATTACCAAGGAAAGGTATTAAAATGCAGATTCTCAGGCCTTGACACCCCGTCCTCACCACAAAGGTTTGGATTCTCTAGGGCAACCCAGGAACCAATGATTTAAACTCATCTCTCACGTGATTCTGATGGGAATAGACTCAGACCATGCTTTGAGTGAGGGATGAATGGACAGGGGTCACAGGGCCCAGCAGTCAGCCAGTGGATCATCAGCATTCCTGGAAGGCCTTGGTGGGTCTTGGGACTGCTGGGAGAAGGGCCTATGCAGGAGGAGGGAGGCCATCACCCCAGAGAGAGTGAACCCAGCTCCCAGCTGCCTGTCAGTCAGGAGAGAGGATGTTTCCAGCTACCAGGGAGCAGGTGTCTAAACCCCAGTGGAAGGGGATTATGGCAAACAGCCAGCCGGGCAGGGCACCCTGCTGGACACCCAGGGCTGTGCTGTGCCTGATGATGGAGGCAGATCTTCTCTGGAGCCCCTGGCATTCCACCCCAGGTGTGGAGCAAACAGTCCTAGCGACAGCTGCAGACTTTGAATGATTAGTGTACCTTTTACTTGCCAGTAGCTTTGTGCCCAGGTGTATGCCGGAAAATGGCTGGACTGGGAAATGTGAATCTGCTTCTCCAGAGAGCCCGCCCAAGGATCAACCACTAACTCCATCTGCACCAGTGAGAGGTGCTTTGTGCCTTCCACCAGGGCTCTGATCCCTTGAGCTTAATTAAGGTCCTTGAGTCAGTCTGCTTCAAAGTTTCTGGGGGGTTCCCTACACTCGACCGCATTCTCTCTGCATGCCTGGGCTCTGACGTTCTGGGGCCAACCAGGTGCCCTTGTTTAGGTCTCTGGATCCTTAATACAGAGTTCAGCTCCTTGCTGCATCCCTCATTTAGTTTGACACTGGGCCTCAGTGTTTCCCCTTCTGTTTTTTAGTGGGGAGCAGAGAGAGAGCCAGAAGAGCAGGGATTAAGCCCTGGGTCCTCCATCTCCTTTTCGGGTGACCTTGGACAAGTCTCTTCCTTCTCTGGCCTCACTTTCCTTCTCTGAAAACTGGGGGAATTGAGTTGCTGATCTTCAGGCCCTTCCTTCCCTGACACTCTAAGGGTCTCTGAGGTCAGTTTCACGTTGTGTCTGCTTTGTGGGAAGAGGGGCTTAGGGTCTCCCATGTCCTCACCCCAGGAGGATGTGGAATAGAACTGGAGAGCTCTCTCTCCTGCAGTGGGGCTTAGTGAGATTAGAGACTGGGGAAGAATTTTGGACTGCTTGCAGCTGGGGGGGTCCGAGAGCAAGCACCAAAACTTGTGCTCAGCTGTGCTAAGCAATGTTTTTGAGGGACAAAAGGGATCCTACAGCTGTGGCCTGAGCCATAGAGCACAGAGTGGCCCTTCCTGGAGGCAGTGAGGCAGGTGAGATGGCCTGGAAGTTTGGAAGTGGGAGGGAGGCTACTCTCAGAGTTTCCTTCTCTGGCATCGATACGCAGCCCCTGGGTGCACCAGCTTGTGTTGTGTGCCACCCACAGGAAGGCTTTGTTTGTGACAGGACCACAGAGTGACCTTCAGTCTGAAATGAGTGCTAAGACATCCATCCCTCTGGTGGGAGTCTGAGGCTGGCACCCTTAGAATCCAGGTGGTCTGTGAAGTTGGCCCCACTTAAAAGACTTGGGAATTCTAAGTATTTCATTTTATGCACTTTATTTTTTAAATTTTTTTGGGGAGATGGAATCTTGCTTGGTTGCCCAGGCTGGAGTACAGTGGTGCAATCTCAGCTCACTGCAACCTCTGTCTCTGGGTTTAAGTGATTCTCCTGCCTCAGCCTCCCGAGTACATGAGCCACCACACCTGGCTAATTTTTGTATTTTTAGTGGAGACGGGGTTTCACCACGTTGGCCAGGCTGGTCTCCAACTCCTGACCTCAAGTGATCACCTGCCTCGGGCCCCCAAGGGATTACAGGTGTGAGCCACTGCACCTGGCTGATTTTATGCACTTTAGAAATTTCCTGAGATGGCCAGGCATGGTGGGTGGCTCACGCCTATAATCCCAGCACTTTGGGAGGCCAAGGCAGGTGGATCACCTGAGGTCAGGGGTTCAAAACCTGCCTGGTCAACATGGTGAAACTCCGTCTCTACTAAAATACAAAATTAGCTGGGTGTGGTGGTGCACACCTGTAATCCCAGCTAGTTGGGAGGCTGAGGCAGGAGAATCCCTTGAACTTGGGAAGTGGAGGTTGCATTGAGCTGAGACTGCACCATTGCACTCCAGCCTGGGCAACAAGAGTGAAACTCCATCTCAAAAATGAAAAAAAAAAAGGAACATCCTGGGAAGTGGTCCACAGGCTTGACTAGGTTGCCAGAAGAGTTCAGGACACAAAAAATGTCAGGACATTAATAATAGCCCTGCCTGGCACCTCTTGATCTTCCCAGGCCCTGTGCCAGGCTCCTCCGCATGCATTCTCGAGAGCCTAACTACCCTGGGAGGTGGGTGCTGTTCT